ATCTGTCTGTAATTCTAGCATTCATAACTAGTTTTCATTCATTAAATCAAATACTCTGAACATCCTGATGAGAATAATTTATTATTATAAAACATATAAATAGCACATTTATATAGACTATAGAAGAAAATATTGTGATCAGAAAATACATTACTCATGGAACTGGTAAAATGACAACATATATATATAATAACATATATATATATATATACACACACTCATATATATAAAAATACTCATTTTTCTATATACATATATATAATACTCATTTATCTATATACACTGCATTGTATAAAATCAGTTTTATTAATAAAATGTCATAAAAATTAAAACAAAATTAAAAGTCGAATACTACAGTATGAAAATATAAAAAGTTCATTGAATGAAACTATATTCTGGAAAGTAAGACTAGTCAAACTAGGTCATGCACAGACCTAAGTCCAGTTCTGCTACCAATGACACTTAAAACTCCCAGAATAAGGCAAGTGATAATAAAGTATATTCTGTCTATGCCACCTGTTGAGAATTCACTTCTTTTCTTCCTTTAGGCTGGTCTCCTATATGAAGCATAGGAGATTAGAGGTCCCACCAAGAATTTCTTTCACATCAGGGCAAATTCCTGTGGAAAATGTTCATTCCTCATTTCATGCACTTCAATTTAAAATTTGCTTTCTTAGCCATGAAAATTGCATGCAGATCTACCAATAATATCTCAACCAAACTGACTTCATATAGAATAGAGGTACAAAATTTAGAGACATGGTTATACTCATAAATGATCTTAAACACTGAGAAGTAATTTACCATCAGTACAACAAAGCAAGCCCATTACACAAATACAGCATCTTAATTCTTCACATTTAAGACATAAGTTTAAAATTTATTATTTTATATACATTCTGAGTAGGTGCACAGGCTGTCAGCACACTGGCTTTCTAAGTAACAACATCTTGTTCTAGAGCAATTCTAAGTTAATCTATGGAGTACCTCCTTTGTTTTTCCAGTGGGATGACTATTCTCTACTGACTTCAATCCCTTGGGGCTTCAGTATAACCCAGTATTCCTTAATTTAAGCTTGTTTTTCATGTCATGGATAAAGTTTTGTTTTTTCCAAAACATTACAACTTTCATTTTCATTGCCCATAAAAGCCACCATGTGCATCAGCAGCTATTTTATATCCTTTCTGCCCTCCTGTGACCTACATTCAAAACTTCCCTTAGAAGAAAATCTTTCTTCCCACTCAACAAAGTACTCCAAACCCAGTTTTAAAGAACTCTTTATTGCAATCTTAGTGAGACAGTAAAGTCCAGTAGTAAGGAAGATTCTCTTGGATTCGGCAGATGTAAGTTCAGTGCTTGTTCCACAAAAGCTTTTCTTAGCACTCTAAGCAAATCATCTACTGGGATCCATGATCTTACATAACCTTTTTGAGTACAGACTTTAACTTCTCTGTGCTTTGATATCCCAGCTGTAGTGGGAGAAATAAAATTCCCTGTTTTTACCACAGTGTTGTAAACATAAGAATGTAAAAATTAGAGGTCTCTTACACATCCTGGAATAAACATTTAGTGATAAGATCCTCTTTATGAGCCTTGCAGGATCTCATAGATTACAGACTCAAGCAATTTTTCAGAATGTGCATATACCAGAATGTACTTGTTTTTTACAAACAGCAGGAAGATCTTGATTAAATACTGGTGCAAAATAGGAACTGCACAAAAAAAAAAAATGCTACACGAAAATACACTCTTGCATTATAATTAAGAAATAGAAGTAATAATTAAATTAAATAGAAAAATGAATACTACTACAATCAGTGCACTTTGTACTATTAAATTATTAAATACCATAAATAGCTCAAGCTTTCCTTAGTGTTCCAATTAAGTTTCAGCTGCATATCCATTATCAGTGGTATACCTGCAGCAAAGGCAGGCTTGAAGAGCATTACCTTCCAATTTTTCCCTTCATTAGTAATTTTAGCAACACTGTTAACCAGAGTTTAAAGAACCTTATTAGTTAGCATTTTCACTGTCATTGGTTGCAAGACAGACTGTTCATCTTCGAGAGGTGGCTCCACAGCTCTAGGAAGCTGACTCAACACCCCTCCACAGCTGATGCACACACTGCTACCTGCCCTCCCCACCCTTCCTTTCTGCCCCAGCACTGACTACTCACTCCTGATGCTTGCATTGTGCCAGCTCCACAGCTAATGAGGTCTTTTTGGGAACCACCTTCAGTCAGCAGTGTGTCATGTCAATTGACAACGAAGCCTGTTATAACCTGAACAAGGAAGGATGGGTGCTTGAGGAGACAAGAACACGTGGATCAGGAAGGAAGGGAGCAAGGGCATGGGGAGCAAGGCTTTCTTGGCCACTGAGATCATTTACAGTCACTGCTGACTCTTGCATTCCTTCACATATAGGCTAAAAAGGTCAAGTAGGTAGGGCAGGTTCGTTCATACTAAAGTGATACTTTCAGTACTTCTCTGCACTGCATTTGGTGTCTGCTGAAGAGTGACATCCCAGGCACATTCTTCAGATGTTTGGGTGATCTTCTGCTGAAATTCAAAGATCAGACACTTGGGCTACCACCAACAGGTTCTTCCCAAACTATGGCACAGCACACATCTATTGACATGAGCATCCTCTCCTCAGAAACCAAATGGCAGAATTGGCAACAATGGTCATTAACTTGTGACTGGGAGATACTGGGCTGGTCAAGAACCTTTTTTTTTCTTTTTTTTTTTTTCTTTTTTTTTTTTTTTTTTTTTTTTTTTTGGTAAAAAATGCCCGCAATAAAGAATAATTTTTAAAAAAGGCTGACATACTTTAGACCTGAAATTCTTTAAGAATATTAAATGCCCATCCAAGGACCTTCTCCAAATTATAGAGTACTGTGAGACATGTAAATCCAGTGAAATGGTAGTGCCTGATCACTCATTTCAGCTTTTGGCTTAACAGAAATTACTAGGAGCAAGGCCAAAGAGGATACTAGACCAAGCTGTCTCACATACCATAGTAGCTCTCCAGAGAATGTTAATGTATTGCACCAGCTAAAGCAGAATTAGCCTGTCTTTGTAAATATCTGCATCAGCAGCATGATAGACAGGGGATTGACTTTCACAAGTGCTTTGAGAATGGTAACTGTTTCATCCTTCCTGCTTATTTTTAGGCCCATCCACATATTCTATGAAACTTTAATTATATGCTTTAAAATTGCTGTGAGGCCACACCACATGTCCTGATGCTGCTCATATACCATGTCTCATGCTGAATCCTTGTGAGACATTCCTCATTCTGGGTTTATTCATTCACTTATTATACGTGAAGTCATGTAACTTAAACTCACTCTGCCCCATGTGTCCTAAGGTCAGACTAATTTCTCCTGTTTGCATTTCCTACTTAGGTTTTCCCTCCTAGTACATCAGTCAACTTGCCCCTGTACACAGGTTCAAGCTGAAAACCAGTGTGGATAATTGTGGAGTCTAGGCTTGAAACCTGAGCTAAGTAACAACTATAAGGTGTTCATGTGGGCCATGCTGCCAGCAAAGGCAGCTCAGGAGTCCAAATAGCATGTCTCTCTTTCCAACTAGGATACAAGCACAGCCTCACAGCATTGCTGAGCCTCTTACCATGGAGAGAAAGAAGAAGAGACCTCATGAAAGCAAAGAGAATAGGTGTAGAGATGTTCTGCTAACCCCACAGCGAAGGAAAGGTGTCACACCTCTTGTAGCTGATCTCTACTGCTGCTGAAAGGGTGCAATTCTAATTTGTGCCTGGCCACATCTTCTCACCTTCCCTTTGTGTTGGGGGAGTGCTGCTTCATCACCACAGTAAACTGAAACAATTTAGCTGAGAAAATATCTGTTGTGTGACTGTTTTTTCCAGTTGGGTTAAGTGAGTTTCTCTGAGTTGCTGCATGGCCACACTGGTACAACCACAAGGAAATCAGTGGTGATGCACACCTGGGCAAGAAAAAGAAGAATGATTATTTTTGGAAGAGTACCTTCTCAAATTGGCTAAAGGCAGTTATGAAGCCACACAGCTGCATATGAACCCAGCACAAATAAGTACATTGCTGTGAATCAGCACACAAACTAAATGCTAAACCCAGAAGACTTTAATTAGTTAGTGTAGAATTGCATTTGCTAATGGCTAGTGCTGCAATGATCAGTGAGATCAGTATAGACCACCATGATTTGAAAGATCATGGTTTTTCTGAGACAAGCATTGTCAAGAACAAGCAAACTTACAGAAAGCAGAGATGTTAAATGTTTCTGGAGTCTTTCTGTAACTAAAAATGGGAGATTGCAAACTCTGTCAAAACAAAAATAATTTTTTAAAATAAAAGTAGAAAATAAAGAATCTACAATATGTCCTCTGATACAGAATAGCAGAAGGGATCAAACTGGCATAAGCTCCAGCGTGCCAGTTTTTTGCTTCTAGAGCTGCTACCTGCTTTGCTGTGCCAGCTATCTCAGCTTTACGCAGAGACTGCAAGAACTTTGCACAAAGTATTTACTGATCACATGAAACAGAAGGTGTCAGGTTTGACTTTGGTTATCCCAGTTGTTCCCCTTCTCACTCTCTGTTTGAACCAGGAAAAACAGCTAGTGTTAGCATTTGGATGTGTACAGGGAATTCTACTTAGAATAAAATTTATTGCCAAACTGACAAAATAGTTTAGCTGTTCATAGTCGAATATTTCACCTACACCACTGTGTGGTTTCAGCAGACACTGTCTGGCTGTTTTCACTGTCGGGCTGTTTTCTCTCTCTAGTGATTGAATGCACACCTTCCCCAAGAGGGAGACTTGATGGTACCCAAAGAGTTTGGCACTTCATTCTTGCTCTTTAGTCATCTCAGATAAGCACCAATGCAGAGCTTACTCTAGAGCTGTGTGATGTCCTTGTGAAGCTTCAGGATAGATGTTACTTCAATGAGAATACCTTCCATTTTTTAATATGCAAAATATACACATTGAAGCAGAAATCTCTCTCTTTCTCTCTCTGTTAATTATTATTTTTCAGGTAAGTAAAGAGAAAAGCAATTTCCATTTTGTATTTTATGTTGACCTTTAATCATTGTTTTGGCAAATTTAATTTGTTTGGCAATGTTAAATGTTTAATTGTAGGGGGAAAAAAAAACCAAAACCACCCAGAAGATATCTTTCACTATCTAGCAACTGCATTTAGCAGCACTCATACATTTATCATTCGCAGTATATATTTCATCAGGAAACCACATGAGATGAATTAGATTTCCTGTTCAGCTTAGAGAGCAGCAGAAGGCATCTAGCCAGTGCAGAGTTGTTATCCACTGTTACAAGATACGTAACTCTGACTTTACAACTCTTTAGTAGTTCTTCATGTGAAGACTAACATGAACAGGCTGCATGATGTCAGATTGGTTCTGTCCACTTCTGTGAACTGCTTATTTCAATGTACAACAAATTCGCTGTCTAGGAAAGCTGTCTTTCATGCCAGACAACTGTGTCTGTGCTCTAAAATATAAATTTCAATGTACAGCTATAAATGAAGGTGTTCTTCTAAGGCTGATGGAGAGCTGTTCATGCCCACATTCTTCTGCTAAGAAGAAAAACCTGAACTCTGCAATTTCTTAGCAACAGCTTCTTTGAGCACCACGTAATTCCAAGCTGCATCCAAAAGCAGATCCCTTTTTCTTCCTTACATAATAACTGAAAATTGAAGAAAGAGAAGAATTTTGTTATGATTTAGAATGTGACTTTTAATGCTTTGGAAGTGAGTCTTGGCAATCTACATGAAGGTCTTTACAAAAAAGAAATCACTTATATTTCCATCATCACCAAAAACAAAGTAAACAGAAAGCCACCAAAGAAACCATGAAAGTATGACCAATGTAAAATGGCACTTCTTCACTGTTTTTCTGATATTTTTTCCTTATAAGAGAAGGAACAAATTGCAGTAATCACCTCCTACAACTCATAGAATCAAATATGTGTATTTACAAGACCAACAGCAAATAGGTGCTTTCCTCCAAAGAGGTTTAAATTTCACTAACAAAAATCAGTTACAAATGAAAGGTTATAACTACTTGGTGGAAGAGGGGTGGTTTGGGTTTTTTGTTTTTGGTTTGGTTTTTTTTGTTTGTTTGTTTTTGGTTTTGGTTTTTTTTTTTTTTTGTTTTTGTTTTTGTTTTTGTTTTTTTTTAATTATTATCTGGAGTGCTATCTGTGGCAGAAAAGCTACTCAGTTGTGTGCTAAAGCTCACCTGCATGTCCACAAAGATGTTCAGAGAGAGAGAGGAAGGATAGGGAACCCCAAATTATACCCTGCTGGGCTACCCTCAGACCCATCACAGAAGCCATCAGACCACTGAGGACCAATCTCCACAAGTCCAGAGTACAGGGAAGGCAGAGTAGCAGGCAGGAACCTAGAATAATACAATCAAATAATCATTTACACAGGAAAAGACCTGTAAAATCATTGAATCCAATTGTTAATCCAGCACTGAGAAGCCCACCACTAAACCATGCCCTTAAGTGTCACATCTACACAAGTTTTAAATACCTCCACAGATGGTGATCCACCACTTCCTTGGGCAGCCTGTTTAAAGCCTTGGCAACCCTTTCAGCAAAGAATTTTTTCTTCATATTCAATCTAAACCTTCCCTGGTGCAACTTGAGGCCTTTTCTTCATGTCCTATCCCAGATAAGCTGGGAAAAGAGGCTGAACTCCACCTGGCTACAGCCTCCTCTCAGGCAGCTGTAGAGAGCAGTAAGGTTCCTCCTGAGCCTCCTTTTCTCCAGGATAAACAACCCCAGTTCCCACACAGGACATGGACTCCAGACCCTTCCCCAGCTCTGTTGCCCTTCTCTGGACACTCTCCAGCATCTCAGTCTCTTTCTTGTAATGAGAGGTCCAAAACTGAACACAGGGTTCAAGGTGTGGCCTCACCTGTGCCAGGTACGAGGGGACAATCACTGCCCTGGTCCTGCTGGCCACAGAACAACCTGAACAAGGAGTACCAAGAAACAAACACTTTATTCAGGCTCCTTCCTGGACTGTCCCAGCAGGGACCCAGTGTCCAGGTGGAAAGGCCATAATGTCAAGGTGCTGCAAGCAAGCAGCTTTCTAGATCCCCTTCCAGACCAAGCAAAGGGGGTGGGATACATCATGCAATGCAGGAGAAAAGCATTTTCAAGTTGTACAGGATTTACTACATAATGTTTAGGGGAGGATCCAGAGGCAGGAAAAGGGAGATGTTTAGGTGATTTGGGGAGGAGTAAGAGTGGGAAAATTGAGGGGTAAGGGGATAAACATGGCCAGTTGTGTGTAAATACACTATATTTCAATATTTCTATGTCTTACTATCTCTATTCTTCTTTTGTTCACATTTTAATTCTTTTCACCACCGACTTATTTCAAAGAAGCAATTTGGCAACCAGTAATTTATTATAATGTAGTTTGGATAGAGAAAATTAGTAAGTATCTAACTAGCTTCTTCTAATAAGCGCCAGCAGTATTTAGAAGGAAAAGTCTCTTAAAGCTACAAGGAATACTAATAAAGTAGTTATACAACTTTTCTTCTGAAAAGTTATTTTACTTTATTTTTTGTCTTGAAAATTTTGTCTTTTAAAGTGTTTACATAATTTTCCCCTTTTGAAGCAAGTGTCAAATATTAATACCGAGAACAGAGACACAGTTTTTATGTTCACACAGTATCCAAATATTTACCTCAGATATTTTCTGTGAAGTGGTCCTAGAATTAAAACATTTATAACACTGCATTGCCATCACTGTTTTCAAGAATTCTTGAACAACGGGTAGTCTGAATAGGGGAGAATAAAATATCATTTTCAGAAAGGAAAAATCAGCAGTCAACATCAATTCAACATCAAGAACAATACTCTAATAAATTATTAAATTGACACTTTTAAAGCACCTGGAGGGTCAGTGAAAAACAAACAGGCAGAAAAGATTTGTTGCAAAAAAAAGTTTGATAAACTGCTGTGTTTTCTTTCTTTAACAGATTATCTGGCTCGTAGCAAAAAAGGCAGTAGAAGAGATGTGTATTGACTTATGGGAATCTTTGGGCACTACCTTACTTGACATTCTCATTAACAAGGTACAGAAACATTTTGTTCTCGGCTAACTTGCTGCACACAATATGTGCATAATTGCTTGCAGAAAATACTCCTAGACTTATTTATATTTTGTTTTCAAATAGAAAGGATATATAATACAGAATTCTGCTAGGATCTGGCCAAAATCTGATCCAGTGCAAAATTTTCACATATGACTTGGTTGACGGAATGGGGAGCACACTCAAAAAAATGTCAAAGAGAAGAGGTACAAGGGAGCTGAAAGATTAGAATTCAAAATGACTTTGATAAATGGGAGAAGTGGTCTGTAATCAATAAGATGAAACTCAATAAATACAAGGACCAAGTACTATATTTACGCTAGAAGAAAATCAAATGCATAAATACAAAACTGAGAGTACTAACAGCTCTGTAGAAAGAGACCTGGCTGTTACAATAAACCACATATTGAATAGAATCAATGACACCACACTGATGGAAAAACAAAAACTCATCCTGGGACATTCTAATAGATATGTCATATGTGAGGCAGAATTAGCAATTGTTTTCCTTAACTCACCTTTCAGAAGCCTCTGTTTGGGGTAGTACATACAATAGTGCAATAGTACTATAATAGTATCATACAATAGTACATAAAGAGTACTTTTTAAATGGTTTAAAATATGGAAAATTATTGAAAAAAGGAGAGGTAATATTTGCTCTAAAAAATAAAGGCTGATGGCAGGTGTGGAGGTGATATCTCAACCTTCCAATATGTAAAAAATTCTGAAAAGCAGGGATCCTTCTTCACGATGGTGCTTCATGACACTGAAGACATGGCAGAACCTTTCTGGCTTTAATCACAGCTGGAAAGGTCTAGGATAAAACACAAAAAGCTTCTGACTCCAAGGATAGCTACAGACAGAAATAGGTCACCCAAAAACTGAGGTATAATCTCCACAATTCAACTTTCTAAGAAGAGGTTAGAAAAATACTCATCAGAGTTTCTCCATTCCTTGGAGGAAGAGGCAAACAAGTGGATCCTGCTGAATTTTCATTCTTGCTACTTTTGTTAGAGTCTCAAAGCAACAGAAAGTTGTAACTTAAATTAGCTATTTTTTTAGTACTAAATATTTTCATGACAGTTTCTGAGTGACTTGCCTTTCAGAAATTCATGCCCTGGTGGTCTGCTAGTTTTAAACAGTAACATCTGCAGAGGTTAGACCTCTTGCTGACTTCGATCCATTCTCTCATGACAGCTTAATGCATCTCTTGATGCCTGCAGGTCTTTGATTCCAAATATTTGTCTTCTTTCGGATTTATTTCTGACCACTTGAATTTTACATTTCCTCACAGAACCTCTCTGACACATTAATCAGCTACAGAATTCAGATGACACTGTTCTTGATGCTTTCCCCTGGCATCACGAGGGCTGCTTTTAACTATTTATAGGCTTATTTATTACTCAAATAAACTATCTAATGCAGTATGTTTTGTGCTTTTAATCATTATACTATAATGTAGTTAAATATTTACCAGGTTGATTTTAAGGATTTTATTTTCTAAAATACTTTGCCTTTGATTTCATGGTTTTATGCCTATGGACACCCATTCTGCAGTTAAGATTACTACACTAATCTTCACTATCTTGCAGCTACTGTGACAGAGAGAGTCAGCTATAATTACTTCTTAAATCAGATCTCATTTGTTACTTACGACTAAATCTCCTGCACACCAGCAAAGCCACCTACTGCTTAAAGCAGTCCTTTGTGGTAACAAGAATTTGCTACTCTTAGCTATATCCTTCAGTAGTATTTGAGCCATTAATCCTGGGTACTTGAAATTATCTATTACAACAAGTTTACTTCTATCTGGACCCTTGTTAGTGCAATTCTTTTGCAAGGGTTATTCTTCTACAATAAAATGCACTGAGACTTGGAGAGAGGTAAAAATTGAGCCTGTGGCTCATGTCCTCAGTTCCCTCTCCTCAGACACTTCATGAAAGTAAAACTGTTTCCTATGGAAGAGTCAAGATTAGAAAATATATTTGAGGCTCTGGACTGTGCTTGTTTCAACTGTTTTGTTTTGTTTTTTTGGTTTTTTTTTTTTCTATTAGAGCTCAAGGAGAAAAAAAATTCCCCCTCCATCTGCTGTACCTGTAGACTTGAATTTCCAGGTTTCATTTATTTTCTCAAACAAGAACTGACATTGTAATTGACATGTTCCTCATGCAGCTTTCATCTACATTTACTAATACAAGACCTGTGCAGAACTGGGTCACTGGTACCACATACAAAATTTGGATTACAAATTGCAAGTAACACAGAACACAGAGTGTCCTGTTTATGCCTACATGTATTACAGGCATTTTAACTAATATCCTGGTTGAACTTCATCCCATTTTCCCATCCTCTGGTACTTTGTAAACTGCCAGCCTGGTTTCACTGCAAGGAGTAGGTGAGACAGGTCATGAGTAGGACTCAATGATCCTGATGGGTCCCTTCTAACTCAGCATATTCTCTGATTCTGTTTTTGAACTGTTTAAGTTGAACAACTTTAAACAACTAATATAAAATGCCCTGGACCTATCACCACACCTGCCATCACAGTGTCTCCATTTTTGGAAGATGAACTGAGCAAAAAACATGTATGTGGGCAGAGCAGCAGTGCTTTCAGTGGCAGCACAGATGCAGGCAGACTTCCTGAGCCAGAAGAGTTTCCTGCACACAATGGGCCACATAAAATGAGACTGCAAAGTTGGTTACATCAGACATGACTTTCTGTGTAGTCATATATTGTCAATGATGACAAAGACAGGATCCTTTTGAGCATCACATCTGGCTCTATGAGAAGAGTTCTGCAAATGCAGGTGGGGCAGATCAGCAGCAAAAAGAAATTTCTAGAATGAGAAGTACAATATTAATGATGAATTCAGCCCTTTTTTGGTGCGAAGACTAGTGTGTGAGCATGTTGTTGAGCAAACAGAGGAAATAACTAATCATGCAGAGACCCAAAGCACAGTTCCCTTATCTCAGTGCCCTGGCAGCATTTTGGGACTGAAAAATCAACAGCAATCAAGGTTACTTAGGAAATTAAAACAATCATTTTGACAGGAAGTGGTAGTAAACTCGGATACATCCTCAGCTGCATCTGATGGAGTCAGTGACAGGGAAAATGTCCTCTCCACTATCCCGGCTGCTGCTGAGATCATTTTTTTTTCCTAGTAGCTGGTACAGTACTGTGGCGTTTGCATTTAGTATGAGAATAATGTTGATAACACACTGATATTTTAGGTGCTGCTGAGAAATAATTACTTTAAATCAAGGACTTCCCAGTTTCCCAAGCTTTACTAGTGAACAGGTACACAAGAAGCCAGAAAGGAGCATAGCCAGGACTTCTGACCCAAACCAGACACAAGGATATTCCATACCACAGAATACCATGCCCAGTACATAAATGGGTGGAGTTGACAGGAGGAGACAATTGCAGCTCAGGCTTGGACTGAATGTTGGTCAACAGGTGAGCAATTGTATTGTGCATAATTTGTCTTTCTTGAGTTTTATTTTTATTTATCTCTTTGTTGCCAACCTTTTAATTATTATTACCACTATTATTATTATTTTATGTTTGATGTTTAGTGTTTTGTGTTTTCTTTTAATTATTAAGCTGTTCTTATGTAAACCCAGTAGTTTCTCCTCCCCATCCCACCGGGGCAGGGAGGGCAGTGAGTGAGTAGCTGAGTGTTACTTGCTGGCTGGGGATAAACCACCACATCCATGAGTTCAGATCTCCAGGTTCTAGATCAAAAGGAAGGAGTCACTGTGTTGCAAGCTTTTGTAACAGCCATGGAAGACAACGCTAGGGTTGGTGGTACATGGAGATGCACGGTATCTGCGCATCCCACAGCTCTCTCCTGGCCACGCTGACACAAGAAGACTATGATCCCTCAAGCTCCCAACACACTGAGATCAACAGACTGACCCATCAGGGCCACTGTGCCTGCACCCTGGTATTCAAGCTCATGAGCTCATCCATTGGCAATCTTCACTAAATCCTTTTCAGTTACTGATTTAATTACTTTCAAGTGGTCACTGGCTATGTGTACTTGTTTACCTCAAAGAAAAGTCCCTGATTTTCTGTCAGATTTTATTCTATACATATCTTTCCCACATTTGTTTTACATGTTTAAGAGTATCTATCTCCTCATCAGAAGGAACTACATCTCAAGGTTTTTCCTTCCCTCCTTAGTCTAGGATTGATGATGGTAGGGTATGTCACACACAGCCAACAGGGGCTGGCTCTCTGGCTTGGGAGAAAGGAGAAGCCAAGATGTCTGCAGAGAATTACACTTGACAGAAGCTAGGGACAGGAGGAGAGAAGCCAAAAATACTTCATTGCAATGACAAGTAGAATCAAGTAACTCCCTGAATTCAAACACACTTCAGGCAAGACTTGATTTTAGTTTTCAGACTTGTGATAGATTGGGCATAGAAAAGAATACAGAAGACAATTATCACTCCCTTAAGGTATGCAGATTATCTCTCTGCTAGATGACATGATCCTGAGTGTTGGAAGAACACATTTTTTACCTGGTAGGGGAAGCTTCTTAGTGTATGTCCTGAAGTCAATTCCCACACTGTGTCCTTGGATATGCTGAAGTCCTGGATTGCAGCTGTCACTTGTTACTGTGACAAGAAACAAAGTCTGATGTCTTGAGTAATGTCAGGTAGACCTCACTTTCCCTTCCTAAACTAAAAACTCACTTTCACAATGTCTGATACAATGTCATCCGATAGTCAGAGCTGATATGGTAGCAGGGTGCAGAGTGCATGGGCCCTGTCTAGAGCCATAAAAATCCTGTTCAGAATAAGTGTTTGATCCAGTGCCTGAGACATACCTGCTTTCTCATAGCAATGACACAGTAATGACATGAGAATATCCTAGGAGAACATCAGGTGAGTGAGAAGCAGGTACAATTGAATGCAGTACAAGAGAAGCTTTGTGTTTCAGGCCTGGAGAAGTTAGGGCCATGGCAATCAGAACTGAAGCACTCATTTTTGCTACTTGTCTTCCTAAAGGAAAGATTCTTAATCCAGTCCTGTGCTGTCTAAGGTTCCCCAGGCTGATGCATTTGTAAGGTCAGTATGCTACAAAAGAAATCATTGCTCAAGTTCCCATGGTGTTGTCAATATATATTTTCCACAGAATCCAAGTAGGTCAAACACCTTTTGCTTGGTTCACTTGGGATCATGTGGAACAATGCCGAAGGGGCTTGCTTGCCAAGTACATGATTTCCACTGTGGCTCTGGTCCAGGCTCTGTCTGATCAGTAACACTACGCCATCACCAAATTCTTCAAAGCTGCTGTTGATGGAGTTGAGACAGTTTACAACAAAAGCACCAGAAGCATAAGAGTAAATATGCATCCAAACCTGCTTATATTTCTTGGGAAACATTTGAATTCCATGGCAAAGCAGCACCAAGAGCACAAAGGGAGCATGAAAGAACTGGCAAAAGAGCCTTTGGGCTGGTAAATAAGCTTCATTCAGAAATACAGTTATGTGATACTTGATCTTACACAATCCTGGCAGACAAAAATTACTCCTTCATATGTTTATATAAATATTCTCACCACCACCTCCAGCTTCAGTCAAACAGTGTGGTCTTATAGTAGTTCAGCACCTTGTGTCTAAGGGCTGCAGCATTTTTAATCTAATGGAAGCTCCCCTACAACTGGCATTACAGTTTTGTGAAGCCACCATGTCATTACTGTCTCTGCTGTTTGCAGCTGCCGGCCTCTCGTCTCTCTCTGTCCAAACACAACCTATGTAAGTGCTGGCAGAGAAGGGAACCAATGAAACTGGAGCATGCAGACAGCTGTCTTTCCCTCCCCCTTCACGCCCCCTCTTTTTTTTTCCCTTTGTAAAGATATTTGATGTTGTTCTGTTCAGCATTACAAGCCCTACTGTGCTCTAGAGAGTCATGCCTAAATAGGCTCAAAAATATCAGTCAGTGTGTTAGGTGAAAAATCAATGAATGCTAAAGTCAGCTTAAAGAGCAAGCCAGAAGTGATAAAGATAACTTGGGAGCTTAAAAAGGGGGAGAAAAAAAAGAAAAAAAAAAAAAAAAAAAAAAAAAGAATGCAACACACGTGCGGATTTGGAGTGAGAGAATATTTTTGAGGTGGAGAAATGGGTGGCTCTTAGAACAAAGAAAGAAAGTAGCAAAAAATAATGGGAAAAGCAAGACCCAGGGAATTAAATTCACACAGAAAAAAAGTTGTAGAAAACAAAGAAAATTAAAAGATTAGGAAAACAGAAACAAAACACAGAAGAACTGACAAACAAGAGAGTCAGAAAAACTGCACATATGAATAGAGAGGAAGGATAATTAAAGTATCAAAAACAAGGAGCTAAGCTCTTTGTAGTTAAAATATATACACACTGTGAGAGACACAAAGCAATAAACACTCAGCATTAAGTGGATTTTCTTAGTTTGGGCTGTTGTGCAAACCAACCACCCTCATGTGATACTATGCCTGAGCTACATCTTGCCAGGAACCTCGTATTTCAGTGGGTCTCTGCTCACCCACACATTTCCATGTTGTGCTCTTTTCCTGGGTGACAACACACTTCTAAAGTTCCGAGCCTGAAAGAAAGCAGTAATGAAAGCCTTTTGCTTATTTTTTTCCCGTTTCTGATGTTTTACTTTCATAGATCCCCATTAGCAGTTGGAACTCCTGTGCCAACAGACATAAATCCTCAGACCTGATCTTTCTTTCATATAACTCAACAGGTGACTACTGCTGACTTCAATCAAAGCCCACAGAGAACAACCATGTCAGGGTGCAAAGGGAAGGTACTGGTTCATGTGGGAACAATGCTGAAAGGGGCAGACTCAGAAAGCTTAAGCTGGCAGAAAGAATTTGAGCAAGAGTGACATTTGGAATTTGGGAAAGAGTAGGTGGTATAGGAGTAACTATGGATGGTAAAAATAAAAAATGAAAATCATGGTGCCCCTACTGAAACCACCTACACCACCACCACCATATTTTATCTGTCACTTCAGTTGAGACAGATGTTACTCTTTGCACCCTAGAGCAAATTTTTCAAAAGCACTGTACCTACAGCCTCAGATGGAAATCCAGTAAAAGTTTAAAAGATACATAGGACTTAAAACCCGTCTCTCTCAGGAGAAAAAAAAAAAAAAAAAAAAGTGTGACCTGAGTGACCTGGATAGCACATTTGCCTTTCTTCATATATCCCTTCCTTCAGGAGGTGCCCCACCCCATACTGCATACTCTGCTTTCCAGAGCAGAGTGCACGGGAAAGCTCTGGTGCTCTGAACAGCCTGACCATACACTCCCACACACTGTCCAGGAGCTGGAGCTCTCAAGGAGCTCAGCCCTGGCCCTGTGCTGCAGGTGGCCCAGTCTCCTGCTCATCTGATGACCACTGGGTCACCAGCAGTCCTGTCACTACCTCAGACCTGCTTGGATGTGAAAGGTGGTGCCCTGAACAGGAAGGCACTGCCCTGCCTTGGCAGTGGACTCTCCAAGGAGGAAGCCCCAGTCTTGCTGCTCCCTGGCACTGACTAGGCTGAGCTGCAAACTGTGAGCTACTACCACTTGCTTGTCTGAACACAAATAATTCAGCATTTGTGGGGTCATGATCCCTTCCCAACTGTTGTTGCTGTGAAACAAAAAGAAAAATTGTCAAAAGAAAGAGCAGGAATTCAAGCAGTTTTGGGGAATTCATAGATGAAAGAAGGAAGTTTTAATTATATTCTTTAAAAGCACAATAGTGGGATAGCCTCAGAATCCCAGCTCACAAAAACTGGGCTGGACAGCTTGGGGGAGGAAGAAGTAGAAATATATTTACACTGTAGAAAAGAAAGAAAAAGCAATCTTAATTACGTTATGTGTGATATTCCATGTCTCTGTCTTTGATATGTTGTTAAGAAATGGGCCAATTTTCAGAACATAGTTTTAAATTTTCACTACTACAGTGGGTAAGCCTTTCAAAAGTATGGAGCAATGCATAAAACCACACCACGTGACTGACGCACGAGAAAATTGTCTCTTTAGAAAATAGAAACCTTTAGAACTACAGAATTGTGAAGGAGTTCAGAAAACTACTCTGTCTAACCCTGCACTGAGGTGGAATCAAATACTCCCAGAGCAGCCTGGTACATGCACATCCTAACTTCCCAAAAACTTCCTGCAAAGGAAGTTCCTTTGGCCCAACAGCTGGTCAGTTCTGGTGTCTCACCACTACAATACAACATAACAGAGCAGAGATTCAGAGCATGGCTATGTTATGTTCATAGTAGGGACAAACATCATTCATCACTGCCATGACAATGTAACACTTGAGTTGGATTCAATGATCCTTTTGCATCCCTCCAACCCAAACTATTCTGTCCTGTGATTTTCTACTTGTGACCTGTGTTTTCTGTCTGTACAATGTCTGGGAAACAACCTGTATCATACTTATGCCTATCACTTTCTTACTATACAATGGTATTTCTACATTTCCTCTCTTCCAAAGGGTTTGCTGCAGGCCTGGAGTAGGGATTGAGGGAAGGGTGGCCTCCTCCCTTTGGAGGATGAAACTGTTGAACAGCTGGTAAAAGAACTGCTTTGGCACTTTTGTCTTTGTTTTATCATAGAATCATAGAATGGCCTGCATAGGGAGAGAACTTGAAGATCATCTAGTTCCAACCCTTCTGCCATGTGAGACTCATTCCACTAGGCCAGTTTGCTCAGAACTCCCTCCAGCCTAGCCTTGAACACTTCCAGGGATGGAGCATCCACAGCTCCTCTGGGCAACCTGTTCCAGTGCCTCACCCTCTCCACAAAAAAGATTTTTTTCCTAGTATCTAATCTAAACCTATTCTCAGATTGAAGCCGTACCCCTGTTGTCCTATCACTACAAATAGTTCCTGCAAATAGTCTCTTTCCATTTTTCTTGTAGGCTCCTTTTGGGTGCTGGAAGGCTGCAAAAATGTTAACCCTTAAGCCTTCTCTTTTCCAGGCTGAAAAAATCTAAACCTCTCTCAGCTTTCCCTTATAGGAGAGGCGCTCAGTGCCACTAATCATCACAGAGCCTGGTGATTTTGCACTTGACAAACAAATCCGGCATACAGTATAGAAAACTTGAAAGGGCAAAATTTGCACAAGTGCACCAATTTTTTTTCCCAAATTTGAGTAAGGCTAACAGGCTTTGCCATGGAGGCGGTTAATGTAGATCTACCACAGCTGCCACGACCGGCTTCGCCTTGCCCAGCTATCGCCCCAAGCCAGTCAGCCTGAGCGGGGCCGAAGCAGCAGGGAACAGCGGCACAAGCATCGGGGGAAAACACCAGCACCACGGGAATTCATCTGCTTTTAATCGAGCAACACCCAGCCCAGACTGACGGCAGCTTTGTGACTCCGCAGCGAGGCCGAGCAGGGACGGCCCAGCGCTGACCCGCCCCGAAGGCACCTGCCGGGCACAGCCACCACGCATGCGCGCTAGCCGCCACCGCCAGCCCACAACTACATATCCCGGCGTGCCGCGTGTGCCCAGCGCCGCAGCCGAGCCAATGGCGAGGGAAGAAGCAGTTCCCGCCTCCACGCAGCAGGTGTGGACACAATTCCCCGAGCCACCCTTCCCCCGCCCGCAGGCAGAGGGCTGGCGCGGGACGCTGTTACAAAGGAGCACAGAGGCGGCAGAGCGAACAGGCCCTGGCTGCCGTGGGGAAGCCGCAGGGGCGTCTCCTCCCCGCTCCCTGCGCAGCCGGGGAAGCGGGCGCGGGGGCCGCGCCTCAGGGGAAGCGGCGGCTCGGGGCTTCCCGCGCGCTGTCAGTTACGAGCGGGAGGAGGAGGAGGAGGAGGCCGAGGGCCCTGGGCCGCGGCCCGCCTCCGGCCCGCCCCCTGTGCCTGCGGCGTGGGGAGCCGGGCTGAGGCGGAGCGGGGCGACCGAGGGGCCGGCGGCTGGGCTCGGTTTCCTGCTCAGTGGGCGTCGTTGGGGCCCCGGCGGGCCCCGCCCCCGTGCCGCCCACCCCGGGCCCCAGCTGTCACTCAAGGCGGCGGGCTGAGGCCGGCGGCAGCGGCGGGCGGAGAGAGAGGCAGCTACGCCACAGCCCAGCGGCGGCCATTCGTGGAAAAATAGGCCGTCCCGCTCCTCCCAGCTCCGGCTGCGACCGGCCTTCTCCCCGCTACCCCCACCCCACCCTCCGCCTCCTCCTCCTCCTTCTCCTCCCCCCTAGAGCGGCGCCTCAGCGGGGCATTAATGCGGGATGAGCGGTATGTAACCCCCTCCCTCTCTCCCTCCTGTGCACACCCCTCCCTCCCTCTGCTCCTCCCTCCACCCTTCATCCCCCCTCTATCCCGCCCTCCCGGGTTCCCCCTTTTCTTCCCTCTGTTCTCCCCCTTCTTACCCCGCTCTTCTCTCGCTGCCCCTCCGCCCATCCGTGCTGCTTCCTCTATGCCCCCTTTCTTCTCCTCTCCTGCCTGCCCCTCCGGCTTGCCTCCTCCGTACCTCCCTCCTCCATTCCCCCTTTCTTCGCTAACCCTCCCTCCTGTGCACATCCTTCCCTCCTTCATTCCTCTTTTCCTCCCTCTTTCCCTCCCATGCACAACCCTCCTCCTGCCCCCTAAAGCATCGGCGGCCACTCAGTGGCCGTCGATGCTTTAGGGGGCAGGAGGAGGAGGAGGGTTGTGGGTGGTTTTTTCCTGCTGTCTCTGGGAGAGGAAACCAAACCTCCCCTTTCTGGGTGTTAACTCTCCAGCCCCCATGGGTTGGGTTTCAAACCACGTTTCTTAGGACTCGTTCTTTTGTAATAATGATTTGTACTGTTGTTTTTATGAAGAGGCAAAAGCGACAAGCTGGGAACCGAAAAGGATATGCTTGTAGGTTTTGTTATTGTATAAATGAAGGTGAATAATTAACCTGTTACACTTGATATTTTTGCAGATCAAAAGAAGGAGGAAACTATGCCCACAGAGGGAGAGAAATCTCCCGAGGCAGAGAATAACAACAATAATAATAAAAAAGGGAAAACTGGAGGCTCACAGGTAAAGAACACACACCCGAATAGGGAAGTGCCCAAACTATTAGCATTTAAAATGAAATGTTCAGCTAACAGCATTTCCTGCTCAGGGCATCTTTCTTTGGGTTGGATGAAACACAGTTGGTTGGGTGCAGTGTTTTTACTGCCTGGACATGTTTGTTTGGTTGCATTTTGCAGTGATCAGCTGCTTTCCATGTAATAGAAGTATTTTTAATTTTTTTTTTCTTTATTTTGAGGGGGGAAAAAAGACTGAATTGATGATGCAGTTGAGGTCTTGGCTGTCACGTAATCATTGATAATTAGAGACTTTTAAGAGCACTATGTTTAAAGACTATTTACAGCAATTCATGCTTCCTTATTCAGAGCTGTATCATTGGTCTCTGCAGAAGCACCTTGTTTTGGTTTTTTTTGGCTTCCTCCACCTTAAGGTGCAAACCTTAGTGCTGACTCCTGATGCTTCATACTTGCACTCTTGTCCTAAATGCTTTCTGTGTTCTCTTTTTATGGATAGGATTCTCAGCCTTCACCTCTTGCTTTGCTAGCAGCCACTTGCAGCAAAATAGGAACTCCTGGTGAGAATCAAGGAACTGGACAGCAGCAGATTATTATAGACCCAAATCAAGGTTTGGTGCAGCTTCAGAATCAGCCACAGCAGTTGGAATTGGTAACAACTCAGCTAGCTGGAAATGCTTGGCAGCTCGTTGCCGCTGCTCCTTCTGCTTCAAAAGACAATAATGTTGCTCAGCAAGGATCTTCTGTTGCCTCAAGTGCAGCAAGTCCCTCCAGCAGTAACAATGGAAGTACATCTCCTTCAAAAACCAAATCAGGCAATTCTTCTACAACAACCCCTGGACAATTCCAAGTCATTCAAGTACAGAATCCAAGCGGTAGTGTCCAGTACCAAGTGATTCCACAGATTCAGACAACGGAAGGTCAAATCAATCCATCCAGTGCTACTGGTCTACAAGATATACAGGGTCAAATTCAGCTTATTCCTGCAGGGAATAATCAAGCTATCCTAACAACTGCAAACAGGACAGCTTCAGGAAATGTTATTGCTCAAAACCTAGCAAATCAGACAGTTCCAGTCCAAATTAGGCCCGGTGTTTCCATACCACTGCAACTGCAAACTATTCCTGGTACTCAGGCGCAAGTTGTAACAACGCTACCTATAAACATTGGTGGGGTAACCCTGGCTTTGCCTGTGATTAACAACGTTGCCACTGGGGGAAGTTCGGGGCAAGTTGGCCAGTCTACGGAGAGTGGAGTTTCCAATGGAAATCAGCTGGCATCTACACCTGTCACTTCTGCCTCTGGTAGTACCATGCCAGAGTCTCCTTCCTCATCTTCCACCGCTACAACCACTGCCTCAACATCTCTGACTAGCAGTGACACCCTGGTAAGCTCTGCAGAAACAGGCCAATACACAAGCACAGCAGGCAGCAGTTCAGAGCAGGCGACTGAAGAACCTCAAACAACTGCTACAGACTCCGAAGCCCAGAGCTCCAGTCAGCTTCAGTCCAATGGACTACAGAACGTCCAGGATCAATCAGGTTCCCTTCAACAGGTCCAGATTGTAGGTCAGCCTATTCTGCAGCAGATACAGATCCAGCAGCCTCAACAGCAGATTATCCAGGCCATTCCTCCACAGTCATTTCAGCTCCAGTCAGGGCAGACTATACAGACCATCCAGCAGCAGCCTTTGCAGAATGTTCAGCTGCAGGCAGTGAGCCCAACTCAGGTGCTCATCAGGGCTCCAACTTTAACACCATCAGGACAGATCAGCTGGCAAACTGTGCAGGTTCAGAATCTGCAAAGCCTTTCAAATCTGCAAGTTCAAAATGCTGGGTTACCCCAACAGCTAACCATTACTCCTGTGTCTTCAAGTGGTGGCACAACCATTGCCCAGATTGCTCCGGTGGCTGTTGCTGGTACCCCCATCACTCTGAATGCTGCCCAGCTTGCTTCAGTACCTAATCTTCAAACAGTAAGTGTTGCCAACCTGAGTGCTGCAGGTGTTCAAGTTCAAGGAGTTCCTGTTACCATTACCAGCGTTGCGGGTGAGTGGTCTGACAAAGTTTTTGAGTTTTCCTTGTTTGTATGGTTGTTTTGCTCTGTTTGTGGTGGTTGTTTGTGGCTTTGTTTTGTTTTGGGTTTTTTGGGGTTTTTTTCCTATTACAAGAATACCAGATGATTTTAGATTAGTACTCTTCAGAATTTTCTGTAATGAACGTTAAACGCTTAACTGTGAGGAAATATATTACACTTATCACTAAAATTCAGATTTTAAAATAGCTGACATTTTTTGCTAAACATTGAATTAATATTACCAGTGGTGTCAGTTGAAACTGAACTGTTTGTATTTGATAAACTATACTTAAATATTTCTGTCCTCTATCTTACTAAAGACTTGTAGGCTCCAGAAGCGAACATGAGACTTTATAGTTAGAGCTTTGATATGTTTAAAAGACAGCACAAAAAAGCTTTTTCCAACCAAGCAGTATTCCTAATCTTTTGGGAACCTAGAATGAGAAGTGGCAATATGTGATACCTTGTGTATTGTATTGTATTGTGTACAACATGGGATACCTTGTGTCCTGGCATGCATTCATATGGAACTACTCATTGCATTCTGCACTAGCTCAAAGTTGTTCCCTTAAAAGTTTGAGCTCTGCAAAGAGATTGAGTGGAATAAGGTGTGCTTGCACATAGTTTCTGTGGCTTGCTTTAGAATAAAAAGATGAAGCCAACTGGTGACTGTACTTCAGGACTTGCTGAACTTTTGTTATGTACTATGAAATGACTGTTTGCTTATGCTGGTCTAGTAGTTGGGAAAGGAGCTATTAAAAGGTTCTAGGCTGGATAACTGAGCTTAGTTTTACAGTGAACTCTGTGCAAGGTCTCTATAGTGTCCCACAAGGACACCTCTTTATGCAAAATTTGCTGACTTTTAATGTTTCAGATAACTCCCGCCTAAATCAAGTTTTATCTTTGTCAGCTTTATAACTACTTACCTAAGCTTGGGTTTATGTCATAGAAGTAAGTCTTCTATTGTAGTAGTTACAATGACCTCTTCTCAACAACAGCCTGACTATAGGCACAGTTTTACTATAAAACTGTTAGAAAAAAACACATCGTGTTTAACTGCTGTCAAGTCTGCATAAGCAAACCTTAGTATCATATTGACTCTTAAATGGTTTGGTTTTTATAATCATATGCTAAGGTGACAAATGTTTAACTGGGCAAAAAATTGTTCTTTTGGATTGAAATGTTTTTGAGGGGACATAACTACTAACATAGTTTAGTAGTAAGAAATTCACAATTGGGAGAATTTTGTCTGCTATGGTACTTCTCAGCATGGAATGGCATGTTGAAATACTAAGTGCTGAGTAAGATGGCACTAAACCTGGCTGTTTAAGGAGTGTAACACAAGCATTAATCTGGGTAATCAGAATTAAAATCTTGACCTTGTGTTTAGCTGTAATGGTTCAAAGAGAAGTTTGGTTAGCTAGCTGAGCAGCTGCAGTCCTATTTACCTTGGAACACTTTTTTTCTTGATAGGAAGGTGCTGGGTGGTGGTTTTCATAGACAGAAGTCTCTACTTTGATAGGGGACTCCATAGGAAGCCTGCTTTGGGAACAGCCTAGATTTGGGGATGCTGGAAAAACCTTTCTGCATGTAGGTTTCTTCTCTGCTTACTAATGGTGTACTACTGTTCAGTACACACTAGCAGGTGTTAGAGCAAGAGAGTCTGAATATCATCTTCATTGGTTATATTGACCCTGCCTGTGCTTGCATATGATGTCTTTTGGAAAATAAAGGGATTGAGATTGGTAACTTGAGGATGAAAAAAGGGCAATGAATCACAAGTATGATCCTGGACAAGCTAAGCCTTAGTCATACAGTGTTTGTATGCTAACTAGACTACATTTTGTGATCATTGAATGCCTCTTCATTGTGCCCACTCTCTCACACCCTGCTCCCAGTAGGTCTCATGGCTATTTCCATAATTTTTTGGCAGCAGTGAATCATAGAAACACAGAATAGTTTGGATTGAAAGGGACCTTTAAAGGTCATGTAGTTCAACCCCTCTGCAATGATCAGGGACATCTTCAACTAGATCAGGTTGCTCAGAGCCCGTTCAACCTAGCCTTGAATGTTTCCAGGGATGGGGCATCCACCACCTCTCTGGGCAATCTGTTCCAGTATTTTGTCACCCTCATTGTAAAAAAACCTCTTTTTTATGTCTAATCTGCACCTGCCCTCTTTCATATTAAGGCCATTCCCTATTGTCCTATCACTACACTTGTAGGAAGTTCTTCTTCAAGTCTATTGTAGCCCCTTTAGGTATTGGAAGGTGCTATAAGGTCTCCCCAGAACCTTCTTTTCTTCAGACTGAACAACCCCATTTTTGTCAGCCTTTCCGCACAGAAGAGGTGCTCCACCCCTATAAGTATTCTGACATTTTTTGCTTTCCTT